TGCATCCACAAGGTATTTTCCCATTGGTCACGTGACCGTTGATGTCATCATGGTGGACCACTTGAGGGTGTTTGGTTGGGCTAGGGTAGTATATATGTCCAGGTTGGGTTGACATCGGTTCATATCCTGAGCATCTATAAGGTATTTTCCCACGGGTCACGTGATTGATGACGTCATCGTTTTTGACCACTTGAGGGTTTTTTTTTTACCAATGTAGCATGTTTATATCTATTTTGATTTAAATATGTGCCCAGGCTAGTGATAAGTTCCCCAGGTTCATGCTACGGTACCATGGTTCATGCTACGGTACCATGGTTCATGCTACGCTACCCAGGTTCATACTACGGTACACTGGTTCATGCTACGGTACGTTCACGCTACGGTCCAAAACGTTTCAAGGTTATATGGATACATACGGACAGGACGCCAAGAGAGCTCATCGAGAGGTTTACAAATTTGAGACGATTGAATTTACTGGTCAAATCTTTAATCAAATTCTTGTATTTTTCTCTTTTACGGACTGCATTGTTATTAAGGTTAGACCCAAACCCAACTGTTAGTTCCAGAACATAAAGGCACTTGGACTGTATTAGGAGAAGGAGATCTGGACGAAAAGTGTCACCAGTAATAATTGAAGGACTTAAAAAACCATTTACRTCAGCATAGAGTGAAGAGCGATGATTAATTACAGGTTTGAGCGAGTTGGCAATGAAGTTGAAAAAAGGTGACAACCAGGAACAACATGGAGGAGTGTCTCAAGATTAATGCAAAAGGAGCAATCAGGACTTTGTGATATAATCCCCATCTTGTCAGATTTTTACGTGTAGCAAGGGAGTTATTTATGTAGCGAATGGTAAAGTTGTATATGTTCTTGGGTAGGTGAGACTGAACAGAAGACCAAATAGAATTAATAGATGACAATGAAAACTTTATGACATTTGAGAAAAAGAAACCTTGTGATGTTAGGTGGTGTTTCAGTTTATTTTCTTGATGAGAACTAAAATCTTTAAGAACTTCCTTGGTGGAATTATACACATCGTATTGAACATTAATGTGACCGCTTGATGACTTCCAGAAATCTCTTATACAAACATTTCTTGACTTTTTTAAGGAATTACGGAGAACAGTTTGGCATTGAATGAATTTAATTGATGGAGGACAAATATTGAGACCAAATTTATTGCGTTGTAGAAAAACATTACTCAGTGTACCACATATCGGGATATCAAGCCATTTACGAATATAGCCATTCACTATGGAATCAAGATTTTCTATTATCCAGAATTTAGATATATCAGCTACAGTAAGATGCCAGGAAAGTTTAGATAGAACGTAGCGGCTGTACAGAAGAAGTTTATTTTTAGGATGCAATTGCTTCATATCAATAATGTCACACATCAAGTCTTTCACAAGAGAGATCAATTCGGACATGTGTTGGTTGTTAGACATTTTAAAGTCAAAGTAGCGACCTAAGTAGCGAAATGATTTGCCCATTTTGACACAGGGAACAAGAACTCCATTAATCAACAGTTTAGGTAAATATTGACGAGATTTAGTAGACAGTTTTTTTATACCAAAAGTAATGCATTTGTCTTCTCTTATTATCATGTCAGACCATTGACACCAGATTATGAAGCGATTGATTAAGTGTTGATTTTCTGATTCTTGACCACTTATGACAGCTGCGTCGTCGGCGAACTGGAACCAGTGGATGGGATTTAAGAACTTAAAGGAGAAGCCAAATTGACGATATTTTTCTGATTTAATATGCTGGAGGAACGTGTTAAAACACAAGTTAAAAAGAAGAGGGCTTAGGCAATCACCTTGAAGTACACCACGATTGATAGGTACAAAGGGAGTGCGAAATTCGTTGGTTATTATGGAGGTTTTGAAATCAGTGTATAGGTCTTTAACCAGGGATTTTATATGATTGGGAATGTGGTGGTAATCTAGAACAGTTTGGATCAAGTTGTGATGAACTTCACCAAAGGCGTTTTGAGGTCTAGAGGAATAATGACGAGAGAGCGTTGCTTTGTGCGAGCTTTGTTAATGATATCAGCCATTTGAGTAGTATGCTCAAAAGTTCCAGAGAGACCGGGTGTAAAACCCTTTTGAATTTCATGTTCAATGTAGTTATTAGCGGCAAGGAAGTTGAATAAGGCATTACGAAGACACGAGGTAAAAACCTTTAAGGGCACAGATTGTAGGGTAATTGGACGAAAATTAGCTGGGTCATTAGCGTTTCCTTTTTTATGGATAAGGATGGTACAGGCTTTTTTCCATTCGCTGGGGACGGATCCAGTTGACCAAGCTGTGCGGATGATTTCAGACAGTTATGTGCGGAGAAAAGGACATCTTTTAAAACTAATGATTGACAGTTGATCTAAGGGACACGGAGAACCAGAAGACTTCATTTTTCAAATCACATTTGATATCTGTTCATATGTTAGAGGGTCAAGGTTGAACGGAATTACAGGATCAGATAAAGTTGGTATCCAGTTTGATAGGTTAAAAACTTTAGTCGGATTAATTGACGATAGAGTTCTTTTGAAGTAATTAAAACACACCTCTATGGAAAATGTTGGAAGGATTTCATCTTTTTTATTGAAGATCTTTTTGACATGTCTTACTGAAATCAAAACAGCGAATCATAGAGAGGATTTGTGGAACGAAGCTTTTTCAGCTGTCGAATCTCAGTTTGAACACAGCTGTGCTGCCTTCTTCTCTACTTCCTTTGAAACGAGAGCTGCTAGTTCTTTCTTAAGAGAGGCACATTCCAAGCTACATTAGCAATCTGTTTATAGGTTCCGCGAACCAGCATCTTGACCAGAGATTCTAAGTCTTCTGGTAGCATTCTCTCCTTAGCTTTTATTTGGATGTTCATTTCACCTTAACGGACAGATCTGTACGTATTGACTTAACAGGGGTTTCTCTCTGAATTGGCCAATAAGGAGGAACAACGTGAATTGGTCTTGTGCATGTGCGAAAAGGAGTCGAACTTGAAAGCCAGAATGTATTACCTTCGCTAGTTCCTTTTGATACGACTCTTTTTAGGGATTACACTTTTCATATCCTTTGCTGATCCTCTCTTTAGCTCATTTGTCTCAACAGGCAACGTATATTTTTTATGTATGTCACGCAATTCGTTTTCAAGTTTCTGTTGCAGTGGGATTAAACTTCGTCTCTTCGACAATGTTTGAAAGCGCGACTTGCATATATACTCGCTCTTTCGATTGAAAATAAATCTCGAACTCACACTTCACGTTTAACTTTGACTTCCCTTCTACAAGATAACAAACATGGTGCATTGATAACTTTCGATGACATAAAATACAAATTATGATTATTACCAGCAATAAACGAGACATAAATTCGAGCTTTATTCCCGGCAAGAACCAACACATGTGAAATCATATAAACAAACTAGCCTGAAATTTGAGTATAGACTGAAAATTATAGCCAATCAGCAAACTTATAAGTAAGAGCCAATCAGAACGCGTACTGAAATGCAGGTACGCTGCTGGGGGTAACGGAACAAGAAAGCTGTCGCTGGTTCGCAGACGGACTTAACAGTCAGTGCAGTTAGAGGCCGGCTGCACGCAGGCTATTTGTTAGTGACACACTAAGGATATAGCCTAGAACTATAAAAGTTCCGCTTCATCCTTAAAGTATTACGCATACTGAAAGTTTAATAAACGAAGATAATAATAATAGTAAGAAGAAGAAGAAGAAGAAAATAATAATAATAATACTAATAATAATAATAATAATAATAATAATAATAATAAAAACCAATACTTTAGGTTTAGAAATATAACATTTTGGTAGTTTTTTATTATTTATTCAAGTTTTTTTCTGATTTCGATTCACAGCACGAATTCTTTAGAAACCATGCATTTCTATTTTTGTTCTTATTGTCTTAATAAACTTCTACAGGGAAAACACTGAAAATAAGACAATGAAAATACTAAACAACATGAGATGGCGAGAATGAAAAATGTCCTGGATAAAAGACCAATTTTTGCTGCAGTTTGTGTTGTTGATAATGTTGTTGCTGTTGTTCATTTAGGCTTGATTTTATTGTAAAATGAAAGTCTTAGGAATTAATGTCGAGCAAATTAGTATACGGATTAACTAAATTRTAAAAGTAGAGGATAAAAGAGCTTAATTAACGATATTTTTTACTCGAATTATTCGAGTTCCTTCGAATTGAGTAACCACTTTAAGAATGAAAACGAGGAGTCGGAGTTTTGACACATGCCGGATGGTAATTTTAAAAGCAAGACAACATTATAGAGTTTTAACCTTAAAGGTTTATCTCAGACATGTTTCGACGTTGCTCACGCCATCGTGAGTGTGTAAACATGCCGGATTCACTTATAAAACTTAACTTCAACATTTATAAAGTATATTTATAAATGTATAATCTACACATAATTTACACATAATAATATGTGTAAAAAGTATATCCTTTGAGTTACTCTTTGTTTAAGCTTAAGTTTAATTGCCAGTTGTTATTTTCTTCCAAAATGGAGACTCGGGTTTTGGTTTGGTTGATTTATTTCGATAAACAAAAGTAAAGAAAAGGAGAGAAAAAGATAGAAAGAAATAAAGAGTTGAATATTTTCACCGAAAAATTGTCCTCGTTTGACGTGAACAAATGTGTTTTGGACGAAACTTGAAATTCATTAAGAAAATGAAATGTGGAAATGGACGTTTTCATATCAATATTTTTTTCTCTAAGTGACTTCCGGAACTTTTTGAGGAGAGGAAATGTTGCTAAAAGAGGTCAAAGGGAAGAAAAAAAGCGCACGTGGAAATTGAAAATTTCCGATTTCCCTTGAAAAAATTGCGTAAAATTTTGAACTTTAAGCAGGAATTGTTTTCTCGTATTTCTAATGGTTGATATGTAAATAGAGCCATATAATAAATGAAAAACGTTTTTATTAATGATTTGTTTGCGCAGCCAGAGAACGGCCTTAGGACATAAGTACCATGTCGTGGCTTCACATCCTTAGCTGGCATTAAACGTAAACTACGCCGCTTGACACTGAAAATAAATCCCACCTGGTAAAGGAAACAAGATGATTGTCCAAGACCACGAGTCCCGGAACTTCAATTTCACGAATCGACCAATTAATCTATACGTACGATAAGTGCGTGTAAAACTGCTTGATGTTCAAAGACACGCACAAAACGAGGCTATTTGAGAGCTTGACAATTGGAGATGCGCCAACGCTTTCTAATTAAAATTCTGTGAAATTGGTAGGCGAATCGTATAAAAGCCTCACATAACGGGGAAAGCTATTCTTTTATCCTGACAGTTTAAAGAGGGGATCGGTCAGTCCAGAATTAAAAAAGGTACGTAAGGGAAATTGTGATCAAGGCAAACCTCAAATATCTAGTATAACTAGAAACATGTTAATTTTTACTTGATTGATAACATTGAAGTGAACGCACCTCTTAAACATATTCTCTTAGCTGATTAGGGAGACATCTGAAAAAATACTGTTTTTAGATCAAACAAGGTTTTTTCCAATATTCATATTGGCCTTAACTTCACTCAGTATTACGAATCTCGTATATATGTATTTCCTCTTATTTTATCTTATTAAGTTCTTCTATATACAATGTGAATTTCTGGAAAGATTCCGATTGAACATTTTAGTTTTCTTGTCTTTCTTCAAGCCAAATGCAAGTAAGTACGAATGAGAAATTTTCCCTTCTGGTTTTTATTGTTCTTAAAAGTGTTATTTCTTTCGCGGAACTCTCCAATAGGAACTGATCGAGATTCAACATAAAAAGTAAATAATGTTTGCCCCGGACGTATGACGTCAGAATTTGAACACGAACAATTATAAAAAGCCCACTTTAACTTGCGACAAAGGTACGTTCTCATTTCTAACATATATAGAAGGGAAATTTCCATATAATAAATTTTAACGAAATCTTTTTAAGATGTCTGGTTTTAGTCATTTATTGATTTTAGCTCCGACTTTGGCTTGAATAATAAATTTTTTGGTAGTCTAAAATGATTGATATTCACTTCCTTAATTTGGTTTAAATATAACTAAATAAACCACCTTAACAGATGTTGTTTTTCACCCTTACGATAATATGTTTATTATGGAGGAATAATATCTCATACGCGAAATTTCGTTTTATTATCTCCCATGTGTTGATAAGAAAATCAAAGTGATTACACGGGTAGGACAAATTAAAAAATAATTAGTATGACCTTCCCATGTGGTCTAACAACAATAAAAAAAACCTGAAGTTATGATTTTAGAAACAATTCCAACCAAATTGCTAACGCCATTATACAGAAAAAAACTGGCTTGAATTTAAATTTCGACACAATCCGTTGTCGTGAAAATTCAGAAAAAAGTTAAACCCAATCATTCATATTCATCATGTTGTTTCATCAAATAGTCGGTTTTTCATATTGTATTTCTGCATTACTTTTTTACTGGTTAAAAGAAATATATATCAGATTTTGTGTAATTAGAATGCTAAAAACGAACGCCCAGTTTTGTCTCAAAAAGTTACTGTATTCCCTAATCAAAGAAATATGACTAACCACATTAAACCATTAAAATACTAATATTTTGGATTAAAAAACATCAAAATAATATTATCGTTATACTGTAATTCCTAGATTGGTTTCCTATAAACTTCTAAAATTAATGTTTTTTAATTCATTGTTATTATAAGTTTTTGATAGCTGTTATTGTAAGTTTGTAAACACGGTCGCCTGATTTCATTTTTTTTTTCTTTTCTTTTAAATGAATAGCACTTGATGAAGAAATTATGAGATGAAATTATAAAATTTTCAATTGGTTTGTTGAAATATGTACGATGAACGAAAATATATAGTTCCCATTTCTCAAGGGTTTTCAGCTTTACTCAATATTTCACCATCTGTTATAGTATTATCACGAAGTACTATAAGACTTTAGCTGATTTTTGGGTAAACCTTTTGATTGAATTTTTGAGTCGGTTATTTAAATCTGATCCGATAATTAAGATTTCTGGCCCCCAACTAAGAACTGCGTGGTGAAACCTATCATTTTGTTTGTAGGAACTATTTCAGTTTACTTGCGAAAATGCACTCTGTTAAATTAAAAAAGAACAAAAATATACATTAATATTGTTTTGTCATCGCAGATTATCAAAATGCGTAGGTACGAATAGCTTTGAAGTAAGTGCCAAACCACTTTTACTAAAAGGCGTGAAAAATATATTACAAGGTACTTTATTTKGATTTAATTGCTACGCCCTGATCAAGACAACAGTCGCGACAGGTAAAGTAAGAGCTAAATACCGAAAACGGAGACATCAAGCCACATGTATAGGCTTAATGCCGCCATTCGAGGTCTTTAACAAATTTAGCTCACATTTGATAAGCTTTTCGCACAAAAATAGTCCCAAAGGACGTCATTAATCCGATCATTGTTTCTCTCAATATTTTTCCCCGATTTCCGTTCCTCTTTTACTCGAAGCACAGATATTACAAGATATTCTGAAAGTTTCATCCCATGTCACTATATTCTACACGAAACTTGTAACGTAAACCGCTGACAGTAAATTCCAATCTGAATTTAAGCTAATACGACAACGAAACTCACACACACACAAGCCGCCGGGCACGGATCTAAACGCTTGTGCTTTGTGACAAACCATTAGTAAAATGCATGGTAGATTAAACAGCTGATAATTTCGTCTGCGCATGCGTTTCTCAAAACGGACTTTACAATACAATACAATAGTATTTTATTCAGGACGCAAATAATCAGTAACATACAATAAAACATTAACAGCGAAAACAAAAACTAACACGCAGCAAAAAATAGGAAATAAATAAGCACCCCGAAAGGAAGTTTAGAGATTAGCCCTAAATGCAAACATACCAACGAAGCAAAAACAACGATGTAATATTAAAGTGCAAATAAACTCTTTGACAATAATTTCAGTACTGATTCTACATGAAGTAAATAGTTGAATGGTAAAATATT